AGTGTTTCTAGCCCACTATCCCTGAGAGTTCGATGCAGATATTTCAACCGTCTGCGCTACCGGGGGAAGGGGACCGGAGGGGACAAGTGAGAGAGGGGAATCGGGATCCCGATTTTTCGCAGCCTTCGTAGGCATTTACGTTCTTAACCTGCTTTATAAAAGCCCTAGCTGGCGCATCACAAATGATAGCCGTAACTGTAAAGCCTAGAGATCTTCCTATTTTTGGAACTAAGAATCCACTAGATTCTAGAGTTTTAATCTCACTAATTAAAGCACTACAATATTTATGTACATCTGACAGCTTCGATGAGCCGCAGAATATACCTATAGGGAAAACTAAACTACGGAATGGAAAAGTAATCATGCCGAGAATAGGCCACAATTGAATCCTAGTTTTATTAAAAAGTGGCATGCCATCGAAATTAAGATGCACTTCTATAGTTTCCGAAGCACTTACCTCATCCATGTGACCTTCTATTTTTGCCATTAGTTGATGCCGGAGGCCAATGTGCACATACTCTCCGTTGCCCATTGGAACCACAGGATACCTAGTCTTACTGCCCAGTATGGTGCGAGGGTCTAGAGGCATATCCTCATCGTATTCCCTAAGGCTAGGTAATAGTAATCTTAATTGAGAGTGAGATGCGCGGCTTCTAATTGCCCACAACCTCACTTTCTCCCTTAAAGACACCCTGGGGTTCATGTTGGCGGCTGCCCCCCGGGATGAACTGGTGCATCGGCATGGCAAACTTAAACCGGCCTCCCTAACAACATTCCTTAGTTCACAATCGGTCAGAAGCGGGCAGTCCTCACTGTGACTAACGTTATCTGCCAGACGCATTCGTTTCGGCCCATTTGACGGACTTCCAGGGACGCAAGAAATGTTGTCAGAGAAATCCATTCTTAAAAAACAAGAAATAGATCGTATGAGTATGCAAGTCGACAGATATGAACGGGTCAAAGGAGCTGGACAGAAGTCAGACGAGGAACTAGTACGATACGCCTGTGGGGTATTTAAATGGACGGCCTGTCTGGCTTGCAGTAGCCTACCAACAGGACACTCCAAAGGGGCTCGGTACCCACCCCCTCTCCATTCGCAATGGGCATGAATTATCGATTTCGAATCAGATGTGGGCAAGACACCTTCTGGCATGAGTTGCTTGACGAGATACTTGATTTCGCCCACGCACAGCGTAACGCTGAGAGCGGCACGAACGTGTCAGCGCCCCAAACTCAGCCCCCCCTGACACTGACGCCGACAACTCGCTGTGAGCCGACTATGCAGTGCATGTTCACAGGTCACACAGTAACAAGCCAGGTCGCCCAAAGCGCCTGAAGCGACAAAAGTTAGTGTGCAGCTGAGAGTCATTGCAACCAAACAAGGGGCGTCCCAGCACAGGCCTCGGCATCCACAGTCGGTCCGTAGGTCACCGCTGCTGTTCCAGCTGGCGCGCTCTATGTGATTGACGTAGCGCCGTAAGAAGGTCTGCCGGCCTACGCGCTCGCAGGCGTACGAACTCCAC